GCTAGCGAAAAATTTTTACATGGAAATTGTAGATCTCGTCGTCCTCTACAAAAAAGGTCATATGCAATTTTTCGGTATGTCCAACGGTTTGGGAGTTATTGGCCAGAAACGAAAATTTGGAAGAAATTGAAGGGGTACCCCTTGGAAAAATCTCGGAAAAATCGAAAAATTTTTTTTGTTGTTTATTATTAGCAATGTTCTTCCGACGTCTGATTTCTTTTTAAAAAATGCGTTTCTAAAGTGCATAAACTTTTGGGATTGACTGTATAGCCAATACATCCTTAATAATCTCCATCGTGTAATTTTACTCAACGTGTTTCAATAAAATAATACGTGATACAAGTCGATTTGTATTAGGAAAAAGCTGAAGAAACAGGGATTCTAGAAGCTGACGCTAGAAAGGACTTGGAAGCAGCGATGCCTGCTTTGCTGGAGGCTCAGAAAGCCTTGGAGGCTTTGAACAAGGACGACATTAACGAGATTCGCGTGTTCGCCAGGCCACCGCACTTGGTGCGTTTCGTCATGGAAGCTGTGAATCTGCTATTAGGTGAAAAGTGAGTCCCGTTCGATTCTTTAAAGCAAAACTGTTTAGATTTCAAACTCATCCTGCATTCTTGTATACGAAATAATCGAACCCATATAATCATAACATTCCGCAATTTTCCTATTAATTTATAATTGAATCCTGCTTTGGATGACCTCAGAACGGATTGGAATTCGGCGAGGCTGGTTCTTGGCGATATACACTTTCTCGATCGTTTGTACACTTACCCCAAAGACGAGATCAGTGATAAGCTTTTAGAAAAGTTACAAGCGTACATCGACCATCCGGAATTCAAGCCAGAATTAGTAGCCAGACAAAGTAAAGCTTGTAAATCAATGTGCATCTGGGTCAGAGCTATAGACGGATACGCTAAAATCTACAGAGTCGTCGAGCCGAAGCGTCAAAGGTGAGTCGAGGAAAAATTGTGTGAAACATTAATTAGTTAGTAATCCGACGTCACAGACTGCAAAAAGCTGCGGCGGAATTGAAGCAGATAGAGGACGTCGTTCGACAGAAGCGGGAGGAGCTGATCGAGGTGGAGAACAAGATCAAAAAGTTGCAGAAGCAATACGACACGGCTATGGAGAATTTGAGTAAATTGCAAGCCAAGATGGAATTGGCAGAGACGAGATTGAACAGATCGGGTCGATTAACGTCGGCGTTGGTGGACGAACGGATCCGATGGGAGGAAATGACGCGAGTATGGTCGGATAAAATCCTGATACGATTAATTATTAATGATCCTCTTTCGATCAGGGATTCGATAAGCAAATTTTTAATTTGACCGGCGATACTCTGGTAGCCGCTGGAGCACTCGCTTACTTGGGTGCTTTTACAAACGAGTACAGGGAAGAACTGATACAGGCCTGGCTAGCCAGCTGCAAACAATACAATATAACTACCACTGAAAACTATAGTATTATCACGATATTAGCTGATCCTTATGAGATCCGTTTATGGAACACGTACGGTCTGCCTCGAGACAAAGTCAGCACCGAGAACGCGATCTTCGTCACCCAGGCCAGTCGTTGGCCTTTGATGATCGACCCTCAAGAACAAGTAATCACGCGATGCACGCGATTATAAAACTTACGTATTATATTAATTTCACGTTTTTCTCACGAAGGCGAATAGATGGATACGGAACATGGAACAAGATAACAATCTAAAGATATGCAAATTAACGGATGTGAATTTAATGAGGATATTGGAAGCGTCTATAAGATTAGGAGCTCCTGTGCTGCTTCAGGAAGTTGGCGAAGTTCTAGATCCGAGCTTAGAACCGATTTTACTCAAACAACTTTTCGTTCTTGTACGTACATGCCAACAGAAATAATTCTCCGATATTTATAAATGTAACTGCGAGTTGTAATCGTTTAGGGAGGTCGAACGTTGATACGTTTCGGTGACACAGACGTCGAGTACGATGACGACTTTAGACTGTACATCACAACCAAGATCGCAAATCCTCATTACCTGCCAGAGGTCTGTATCAAAGTAACGATAGTCAACTTTACCGTGACTCTAGGAGGCCTCGAGGAGCAACTACTCGCGTACGTCGTCTCAGCTGTGTTAACACAATTATTAATTCCTTAATTACATTACACATTTACTTCAGAGATGTTGTACGTCTCGAGAGGCCGGATCTGGAGACAATGAGGAACGATTTGATAATGAAAATCAATGCAGATAAAGGACAATTGCAAAATATCGAAGACAGAATACTGACCTTGTTGTTCAGTTCAGGAGGTGATATTTTAGACAACGAGGATTTAATAGAAACGTTGAACGACAGCAAAGAAACATCTGCTATCATCGCGACGAGGTTGATTGAAAGTGAAGCTACTGAGCAAAAGATATCAGAGGCACGTGAGAAATATCGTTCTGTAGCGAACAGAGGATCGGTGTTATACTTTATAGTGGCGGATCTCGCGAACATAGATCCTATGTATCAATTTTCGTTAAAATATTTCAATCAGGTAAGTGACTCAATAACAGACTTGGATGATATATAGATTTTTATCATCTTTCGTTTTTATACCAGATATTTAACGTGGTGATCGAAACCACCGAGAAGGAGGATAACTTGCAGAAACGTTTGCAGTCATTAATAAGTGAAATAACGTTAGCTGTTTATACGAACGTTTCTCGAGGCTTATTTGAAAAACATAAATTGGTGTATAGCTTTATGCTCAATATTGCTATACATATGAATAACAAGATCGTAACTAACACACAGTGGAATTTTATGCTGCGAGGACCTTCGCATATCATTGTAGTAAGCTGTTTCCCATCGATAATCCATAGAGCGTTTTTTTTAATCAATAAAGAATTGTCTCTTTTATATAATTCTTATTCATGCCTTCTACACCTAAAATTCCTTATCAATCATTTTATCATAATAATGTACTATGAATAGGAAGAGATGCCGGATTATCCTACTTTAACAAATCACATGTGGCTCTCTGTAAATTACTTGGCCAGATCGTTCGAAAGCTTCAAACATATTCTAAACGACGTATTTAAGAGAATACCAATAAAACTCGGATATTTCGAAGAAGTAAATTCCGTTTTCTTAGATTTCAATTCCAACTGCAAATCTACTTACGATTTTCTTTTAGGAAATCAATGTGATTCCTACGAACGAAACTTACGCTACGCGCGAATGGGATAAACTGTTGAGCGATATAGAAAAATTAATGCTGCTGAGAGCTTTGAAAGAGAATCTATTGATTTTCGCGATCACGGCTTACGTGGCGAAAAATCTCGGTCAAAAATTCGTCGAATCGCCTATGGCGTCACTACAGCTTTTGTACATATCCAATTTTTGCTTGGTACAAAAAGTATCAATGCCAATACGTATAAAGATGAAATGAAAAACTTGAAGATTATTCAAATTATTTCTAACATCTAATGCACATAGAGACGGTCTAGGAGACGCCTAGCTTAAACAAAATTTGTGATTGTCGTTTTCTACGTAGAATGTACAATCGCAAACCGGGTTTAACTGATTCCAAATATGACACTGGCACTTTTTGCATCAAGCTCAAATGCAATTTAAAGATTACGCTTACCAGCACGTTTTCAGGTTTGCGGACACGTCGAACAAGATACCGCTGGTGTTTATACTGACGACTGGATCGGATCCTTTCAGCGGGTTCTTAAAATTCGCGCACGATATGGAATTCACGGACAGATACGATTCGATTTCTTTAGGACAAGGCCAGGGTCCCGTCGCGGAAGGTCACTTACGAAATGGCACCGTCGAGGGCAGATGGGTGTTTCTACAAAACTGCCACCTTGCCACTTCTTGGATGATCAAAATGGAACAGCTCGTATTAGAAATCGCGGAAGAACCGGAAGGAGTGATACACCCCGACTTCCGATTGTTCCTAAGCTCGATGCCCAGCATCGCTTTCCCCGTTTCCGTTCTTCAAAATTCCGTCAAAGTTACGAACGAACCGCCGAAAGGTTTAAAGGCTAATATTAAGAGAGCTTTGTACGATTTAGATGAAGAATTCTTCGAGTATCATCGTAAGAAATAGATCTCTTAAGGTGAAAATGTGCACATTACATATAAAAATGTGTCTTATACAGATTTGGATGATAAATGGAGGAGAATTATATTTGGCGTTTGTTTCTTCCACGCGATCGTCCAAGAACGAAAAAAGTTCGGTCCTCTGGGATGGAATATTCTCTACGAATTTAATGATAGCGATAGGGAATGCTGTTTACTCAATTTGAAACTGTTTTGCATACACGAACACGTACCTTGGAATGCACTGATATACACGACAGGTTCGTAAACATGTTTTTAATTTAAATATATTTGATTCTGTTTCTTTCTTTCAGGTGAAATAACTTACGGAGGTAGAGTCACGGACAACTGGGACTTGAGATGTATGAAGACGATCTTGGATATTTTCTTCTCTCCGAAAACTTTGGCCCACGATTATGTCTATTCACCGTCTGGCAGGTATTACTGCCCGGCTTATAAAACGTTGGATCAGTACAAAGATTTCGTAGAAGATTTCTCGATAATCGATGACCCCGAAGTGTTTGGAATGCACGAAAACGCGAATATCATTTATCAGGTAATTAAGAAACAGAATTAATCGAGAGCAATTATACAATTGTTTAAATTCCCAGTTAAAAGAGGCGCAGTTTGTTCTGAACACTATTTTGGAAGTACAACCGCAAGAATCCGTGACCGAGGAAGGGAAATCGAGGTCGGAAATAGCGTACGAAATAGCAGACATGGTCAAGCGTAGGATTGAACAGAAGATAGATCCTTTGAAATGTAATCCAGAGCATATGATAGTAAGCGACAGATATAAATCCTGACTGTACACCTTGCCGTGAAACAAATGTTATGCGTGAGTTTTTACAGAGAGATTCGGCGGGTAGGCTTCCGTCAATGACTACCGTGCTCGTTCACGAAGTCGAGAGATATAATATACTGTTGCAAAAGATACACTCGTCAATAGACAAGTTACAGAAAGCAATTAAAGGTTTCGTCGTCATGTCCGAAGAATTGGAAAGCGTTTTCATTGCTTTTATTAATAATCAGGTTCGACCGTCAGAATACTTGTATCACTATATCATTCAAACTGTTTTTGTAACTGTACTTTTTAATTAGGTACCACAAATGTGGCATAACGTGAACGTGTACCCGTCTTTAAAGACTTTAGGAAGTTGGATAAGAAATTTGGAGCTGAGAATCGATTTCATTCAAGTAAGATAATGGTAATTAAAATAGCGAACGGTTCAGCAGCCGTATCATAAACTATAGGTATGGTTTGTGGACGCGAAACCCATTTCGTTCTGGATCTCGGGATTGTCTTTCCCTCAAGGATTTCTAACCGGCATGTTACAAACGTGCGCGAGAAAGTATAATACCCCGATAGATCATTTGAAATTGGACTTTATCACTTCTGAAATTGTTCTCGATCAAGATGAAATTGAAATAGAACACAAGAAAGCTGAACAGGAGGTCCGGTCGTAAAAATATTATAACGTAATTAAAAACTACTAGGAAATACATCTCATGTGCTCGATATCACAGGTGCCGGAGGTCTATAAAGGTTTAAAAGTGCCGGAGGATGGAGTTCTAATACATGGATTGTACATAGATGCTGGTAGATGGGATTTTCAAACCATGATGTTGGTGGATGCAAATATAGGTAAATGCCTGTTTTGTCATGTTATATAAAATCGATAAACAGTGAATATTGTTAGGTGAGATGCATCCGTCGCTACCAGTCATGCACATAAATCCAGTATTAGAACTGCCGGAAGATGATCCGAGATACGTTTGCCCACTGTATAAAACAGCAGTTAGAGCAGGTGTATTATCTACGACTGGGCACAGTACAAATTTCGTTGTGCAAGTTTTACTACCGTCCGAACAACCACAGCCTTATTGGATTTTGAAGGGTACAGCTCTTTTAATTGAAATTATAAACTAAATTCAAGAAGTAGTAGTGAAATTAATAGAATAATCAAGTCTATCACTTTGTACACGTGTATTTGTTGTATGCACATGTACTTTACAGTACGAAATTCTTAAATAAATGTTAATACAAACAAACGAAGAGTATAAATGTAAATCAACAAAAAAATAGTATAAAAGTAATGTAATGAACACGCAGGTTGGACATATAATATTGTAAGATTATAGCAATTCGTTTTGCTTTAGCTTCACAAGATGAGCATGATAATCATAATCTTCTTTATCAATGGTCCACATTAAGCCCATATAAATAGTAAGTATCGAAGCCAATAATAATCTGTCTAATCTACAAAACATTAAATATCGATTACTTCTCTATTCTAAAGAATTTATTATTTATAACTCTGCAAGTATATGACTTACGTCATATAAGGATGTATCCAAAAAATAATGAGAAATCCTGTCAGACTTGGATGTCTCATATGCATATAATAACGTAACAATCCTCTCGACTTCATTACAATCGGGCATGGCCTTGATGAAAATTTGTAATATACTTGTTTTAACCCAGCCAATTCTGATAAATCCATCATCAGACACCCGCTATAAATTATTATCCAAGCCAACACGTGAAGGGTCGTAAATGTGTACCAAGAAACGTCGTTAGAAAAGGTATCGACTTTCCATAATGTAACAGATGAAATGAACTCCCATTTACTGATTAATAAATGAAGAGTCATGGCACTGAAAACATTATAGACAGTTCGTTCTATGTAATCAACTTGGAACTTGGAAAATAAATCTTTCACGAGCTCACTAGCCATAAATGAGTGTTGTAAAATAAAAATACTTAACAGAGTCATGTCTGTCGATAAGGGCCATAATAACGAGACATTGCTTTCATCTGCAATAAAACGATCGAAAATAATTCCAACTACTATCTGATACTACTATCGTTTCTTTTACCTTCCTTCGATGAAACAATCGTTTCATTAGTTACGTTATGGTTCGACAAGAAATGTCCTAAGCTGTACAAGATGTAAATGGTATATAAGAAACAAACGGTGCATGTCACTACACTAAACCATTTAACGAACATTTCCGTGACTGGCAAAAAAACTTAACGATAAATTATTAGATAAAATTACTTTACATTGCAGTCGTTACGAGAACGTCCAAGGGAGAACCGTTGGGAGAACCGACATAAAAAAAATCCTGACTTTGTTTACAGAATACTTATTTATAGAACTTGTAAATATCATTAAATTAATAAGAACTAGACAAGAATCTTTCTACGAGTATATCACCTGCTTATACTAGCGCTGGTTCAATTTTTCATGCAGGGATCTGTTCTCCTCGGTGGGTATCTCCTCGGTGGTGGAACCTTTTCTTGAATTGGTCTCTTGGTGCAGCACTTGCACGGGATTCACGAAATCCCGGGCGTAAATAATCTCGTTTCCTTTCTGGTCTTGTGGCCGGTAATCTGTTGTGGGGAACTTATAGATGTAACGAAATTTCATCATATTACGTGATTACAAATACTTACGCCAAACATGGCCCACCAGTTACTATCGTCAACAAGTAAATTAGAAAAATTCATTTTGAGCTCCGTTTATAAAAATGCCAACATGTTCCAGGTATAAATATAACCTAATGTAACCTAAGTCTGTTCATTACGAGTTTTCTTTCATAACGATTGAATAGTTTAATTCGATTCGACATTCTGCACGCTTTGCATCAACGCACTTTACGATGATACTCTATTTCATATTTCCAATCATGATCTTTGGACGTACCTATCGTAAATTAAAATTTGCTATATTTGTTCAAATCATTTTCATGTTTCCAGTTAAGAAGATACCTATCATTGATAAAGAATGGTAACGAAACGAGTAGAATAGAACATGTGCGAAATCAATGGAGATTACTGTGTAATCAGCCACCGAAAGGATTTGAAAAGTTCTACAAGCCAAGTTATTATTTCACATTTATGCATTTACATTGCGCGAGGTCGATACATTCCAATAAATTGTAATATACTTTTTTATGTATAGAAGCAAATACTTCTAGTAAAACTACTGAGAAAGTTGCTGAAAAAGTAAAAGAAGGGTCCTCTAAAGAGACATCCAAGGCGCAATCAGCTTCCGAGACTCAGTCTCAGAAATCTTCTACCGATAAACGTACCTTCTCATGGGAATTTAAGTGGAGCAGTGGTAACAATTCATTTGGGAACAAAAACAATGAAAAGATGTTCATCATAGGTTTTTTATTAATGGGTAGCTCTTACCTGTATTTACACCACGTATCGAATCTTGCGACAGAGATCACGTGGAGAGAGTTCATAACAAAGTATGCGTTCTTCCATGCATTACTTTAACACATTTGACAAACCGAGGTGGATTTGAGATTTTAGAGATACTATGACTTTTATTTTAGATGCTTGAACAAAGGGATAGTGGATAAAGTGGAAGTCGTCAATAAACAATGGGTTCGCGTAAAATTGTTACCTGGTCACATTGTAAATGGAAAGGTAAATTTACTTATTTGAATACATGTTTAACGGGAGCAGACGTAGTGTTACATAATCGTTTCACACGTTCCGTAGGATACTTTGTGGTTCAACATTGGTAGCGTTGAAACATTTGAAAGAAATTTGGAGAATGCACAAATCGAACTCAATGTAGAGCCGCAAAATTATTTACCGGTACATTACAGGGACGAGTTAGAAATGCATCATATTTTAAAACTTTTACCACAGATCGTTATGTGGGGTGAGTTACGCTGTTATTTAGTTTTCTACCGAAGTTCAGACTTGGATCATAGCTAGATGTGTTATTGATTATTACTTTCATAGGATTCCTATTTTATTTATTCCGTAAGTCGATGGAATCTTTGGGTAGAGGAAGGAAAGGTGGACTATTTGGTCCGATAATGGAATCAACCGCCAAGCTAATCAACTCCAAAGATATAGGCGTACGGTTTAAGTAAGTCGATGGTAAAAATAAGATTGCGCGACATTTCATAATGTTGCAAAAGACTATTATATACACACGTGTATATATGTGAATCATAAGGAATTCTCTTCTACCCTGAGCTGTTCTGCTATAAAATTATCGTAAACGTTTCCGCGCGCGTGTGTTATTGAAATGTAGGGATGTTGCCGGTTGCGAGGAAGCTAAAATCGAAATTATGGAGTTCGTAAATTTTCTAAAAAATCCGCAACAATACATCGAGCTTGGTGCGAAGATTCCAAAGGGTGCGATGCTGACAGGTAACTCGCGTTATTCGATATTGATAATCAGCTATAGTTCGTTTTTTTTTTTAATATTTAATATATATACGTAATATAATACGTATTTTTTTTTTCGCTATACGGTTATAGGTCCACCGGGTACTGGTAAAACGTTGTTAGCTAAAGCCACAGCAGGCGAAGCGAACGTACCTTTTATCAGCGTATCAGGCTCGGAGTTTCTGGAGATGTTCGTCGGTGTCGGTCCATCAAGAGTGCGCGATATGTTCGCCATGGCACGAAAACACGCGCCGTGCATACTGTTTATCGACGAAATCGATGCGGTTGGAAGAAAAAGGGGAGGCCGAAACTTCGGCGGTCATTCAGAGCAAGAAAACACGCTTAATCAACTTCTAGTTGAGATGGACGGTATGCAGCGCATTAATTACAACTCGAACTATTTGACAATACTGCGTTGCTTATAGGTTTCAATACGACTACCAACGTGGTCGTGTTAGCGGCAACTAACAGAATAGATATCTTGGACAAAGCGTTGTTACGACCCGGAAGATTTGACAGACAAATTTTCGTTCCGGCCCCGGACATCAAGGGGCGAGCTTCCATCTTCAAAGTACATTTGCAGCCGCTCAAGACTAATGCGATAGACAAAGATCAATTATCTAGAAAAATGGCTTCCTTGACACCTGGATTTACGGGTATGAGAACCGAAGTCGATTGGTAAAATTTCCCTGACACGAAGGCGACGCGCATTCGATACTCAGAATACTATACATAGCTCGTTTTAGGAGCCGATATCGCAAACGTATGCAACGAAGCGGCCTTGATCGCAGCTAGAGACCTGAATGACAACATACATTTGAACCATTTCGAACAGGCGATCGAAAGGGTAATCGCGGGCATGGAGAAAAAGACAAACGTCTTGCAACCCGAAGAGAAGAAAACTGTCGCGTATCATGAAGCTGGTCACGCGGTGGCGGGTTGGTTCTTGCAGTACGCGGACCCGCTTTTAAAGGTGACAAACCGCTTTACATCTTCGCGACGCGGCCGCAGCTTTTTCACTTTCGCGTAACTAATTTCTACATTTTTCCTCGATAGGTCTCGATAATCCCTCGTGGAAAAGGTTTAGGTTACGCACAGTATTTGCCTCACGAACAGTATCTATATACGAAAGAACAATTGTTCGACCGGATGTGTATGGCTCTCGGCGGTCGAGTGTCGGAAGAAATCTTTTTCAATCGCATAACAACGGGAGCACAAGACGATCTCCAAAAAGTATTCGACCATGTCAATTTAAACGCAGTTAACGAGTTATACGTCGATGCTGATGTTTTTGTTCTCCGCTAGGTAACTTCGAACGCGTACGCTCAGGTGATTCAGTACGGTATGAACGAAAAAGTTGGGAACGTTAGTTTCCAGATGCCACAGCAAGGCGAAATGGCTTTTGACAAGCCGTACTCCGAACATACTGCGCAACTCATCGACACAGAAGTCCGCGCACTAATCGAACAGGCGCATAACCACACGCGCGAGCTACTTACAAAGCACAAGGAAAATGTAGAAAAGGTATTTGCTGTGTTCAACGATCAATCGATAATTGGATGAAACGAACTAACCGAGTACTTGGTCTCCTGCAGGTAGCCGAACGACTATTGAAACAGGAAATTTTGAGCAGAGATGACATGATAGAATTGTTGGGGCCGAGACCGTTCCCCGAGAAATCGACTTACGAGCAATTCGTAGAGGGTACGGGATCCTTCGAGGAGGACACCAGTTTACCGAAGGGCTTGCAAGAGTGGAACAAATCGAGGGAAGACGACAAGCGGCCGGAGGCCACGGTTCCTCCGACGTCGGAAGCTGTTCCTGGAAAATCAGCCGCGGCCTCTCAAAATCAGCCGCAGCAGCGATTATAAACCATGCCGCCTGTTAAGTACTTTGTATTATAGTTTGAAATACATAGGCGTAATGAGTAGTGATACGCGAGCATCGATTATAAATGTCAGAACGTTGTAAATGCGCTTTCAAAATAACACTCGAACTATGAGTATTTACGTAAATGCAAAAAGAGGAGGAAAGAGAGAAAACTATGTTCCGTATCGATTTAGCTTTTGCCTGTCCTCCAATACTGATACAGAACCTTTTTATAAGGAGAACCGAGTTGTGTAAAAACATGCGTAACGACGACTATAAATTGTATTGACATATGTATATCCATTCTTGTATTTATACATATAGTACCGCAGTTTATCCGCGATATACGTATACGCGAAACAAGGATCACGTAATTTTTTCTGTTCGAACAATTGTATAAAGAGGAACCATTTTTGAAAAGAATAATAATAATAAGAAGAAAAAGAATAATTCTCTTGTTTTTCTTTTAAGGTCTATAAAACTAAACTTGTAAATGGAGCGACGAGCCAGGCGATTCAATAAAGAGTACAGAATTTTGTTCACGTCATTTTCTTTTTTGCAACGTATAATTAATAAAGTTTATAAATGTAGTGCAATTAAACTGTTTTTATCCTTAAACATTGCAAGTACATTAATCATTTACTGTTGTTGGTTTCTTTTTCGTTTACCACTGTTTGTTGAGTTCTCGCTTTGACAAAATTTATCTGTGGCGTATTCGGACGAAAAACAACACGTGTGCGTAAATCGAATTATCGTCGCTATATTAAAAATTACGTGCTCGATCAATTAAAATTATTTGCTCAACAATAAAACTGAGAAGAAAACTCGGTGAAAATAAAACGAAATCTACTCGCGTTCCGTGTACGCCAAGGTCCATATTCCATATACATACGTGCTATGTATATTTGTTTATTACAATGTTTAAAATGCATCGATTCAACGTCGACGAAGGTCTCTTCTTACCAGTCGAATTCATGGCTTTATCTACATATTATTTATTATGCATTATATAGGAACAAATCTTTTTACCCCTGTTGTGGCTCGCGTTAACGCGAACGCATCTGGTCCGTCGTCGTCGATCTAGCGACGACCGCGAATCACACGTGCACGTACCGCGAATTCGGAGGAAAAAATAAATAGAGAGCAAGATCGGGCGTCCATGAATGCGAAAATTACAGACCTTCGTCCACTCGCCGATCCATTCTCTCGCGTTCATTCGTACGCTCTTTCCCTCTCTTCCTACTCGTCGACTCGAAACATTCGGAGAAACGACTTTCGCGAGATACAAGCTCCGAGCTCGATTAGATGCGTCTTTTAAACGAATCTCGATATATATATATTCACTATCAGTCTTGGGATTTTCTTTAAAATTTATTCATTTTCTTATGAGCCGAAACGCCCTTGGGAACGTGTCACGCTGTGTAGTAAATCTTAACTTCGAATAAAAGTATCGTTCCCTGGTCAGAGAGAAACAATTCAAAAATATAAGATGCAATTCGTTCCCTCGTCGTCTGTTTCGCGCGTGGTACTTTCTCTGGTCGCGACCCTTACTCGGTCACGCGGTTTCGTTCGAAATAGGAAGACCACGATACCTAATCGTTCATCGTCGATTCTCGAATATCAATTGGAAATGTACGCGTCATACCCAAGGTACACCGTAGTCGAATGGATGAAAAAATAGTGATTTCTTTTGTCGAGTTTACGATACCACCGCGCGCCGGTAGCGAATGCAAGATACGATTTTTACATGCCATGCGAGATTCTTCAAACAGCTGTTCGATCGAGGTACGCGCTCAGTTTGTCGAGTCAATTGATCGGTAACGCGTATGGTGAACGTGGCAAAGGAAAGGCGATAATTAAAAAAAATCAAATCATGTCACGGAACGAACAATGATCGGTTATGGAAACTTGATTCACGACCGTCGGCTTTACATATTTTACAAATCCCCTTCCGACCTTCGTCTCTCGTCGCTATATCTTTGATCCCAAGACAGCGTTTTATTTATATATTTATTCATTTATTTATCTATATCGTTTCTTTCTTTGTTCTCTCATTTCTCATCCCCAAAGTGGCGAATCGTGTTAGCATTTCTACAAAACTATACGATTTATCGAATAGCTAAGTATCATTTATAGATTCCGAAAATTTACCATTAAACTTAGCTCGCTAACTCACTAATCAAATATATTATACAATCACTAAATTATTGCTTTGTCGTACCTTGTATCACACTAATCTAATTGTAAGTCCTACGTTTTACCTCGCGCTCTTCTCTCTTCCTTTCCTCGCTTTCTACCTCTTCCTCGATCCTCTTCGCAAAAGCCAGGTGGTTCGTTGGTCGGTTGGTCGTGCCTGCTTCTCTGCTGCGCTTCGCTTCGCGACATTCCGCTCGCTCGTATCCGACGACAGAAGACTGCGAGTCTTCGTGCGCAATCGGATTATTGTAAACGCATTTGCGGAGGTCAAAATATATGTACAAATCGCAATCCGCGCCGTCACGGATTTTCTACTTACAAAAATTTAGTTAAAAGTCAAATTTACATCGGAAAGTTTTACTCTTTTTCTTGCTCACTGCGGGAGCGCACAAAAATTCGCAGTCTATAGATTCGTTTTACTCTCGCGTCTACGTGTATATTTGCGTGCATGCGAAACGATTTCTACCGATGTAAGATCGGTCCTCTTTACGAAACTCGAGTGAAATCGAAATTATCGCTAACGGAGGCGAGTCCCGGATCGCGCACTAATTAATTTCGTAATCGGAACGATCAAAGGGTGACAGGTTTCGTGCTGGAAAAACGTCCGTTCAACGGGCAAGGGATGGTGATCATTCATTTATCGCGACTCGTCACGCCGTTTCTCCTATCCGGTCTCGCGCGTTTTACTCGATACCAGATATACCAACAGTTTTATGTATCTGATTTAGGAAGGCCCGACGACGAACCGATGATCACGCTGTATTTGGTTCCGATCGATCTGATCAAGCAAACGAATGGTGTACAAGCGAAATTACCGAATCGAGTACCTAACTAACTGAGAAATATCAAGCTCGACCTATTTTCTGAAGTGAAATAGAGAATTGAATTACGGGCAATCGTTTCCGCGAAAAGTTTCGGTGTAGCGAAAATTCGGCTAACATACACGTACACGTACACATACAGACAGCATATATCGTACGTATTCGGCCTAGCATGTTTACTCGTAATTATTAATTATTATAGTTAATGCGGACAGTCGCTGTCCCGCTTGTTTCGTTGTTCGTTTTTACCGTGTTTCTGAACGTACGTAATTTTCCTAACGGTCGACACCTCCGTCTCCTTTCCGTTCTTACCCCTTTTCTCTACATCTTCGCTCTCCTACCTTCCCTTTCCCTCTTATTGACAACGGTTATCACCGCGAGAGGCGACGATTCAATTACGCTTTATCGTAATCGTTATTCGGCATAATTACGTTTAAGTACTTTGGTCCTTTTTAGAGTCTTCTAAACGGTTAATTACGCGAAATGGCATGCGCGAAACTTAGGGGAACGGATCCACCCTCGTTACGTTTCCTCCCTTTTCCTTGTCTCATCCTTCTCAGTTTCTATCTCATCCTTCTTTGGTTTACGTTACAACAACGGCTACGGGGCAATGAGATTCGTCAAGATTTCCTCGTTCTATTTAATAGCAAAAATTTTGTCGACATGCCGAATTAAAGGGTGTTCCGACGAACGCGATGGATCGTCGCTTCGTCAGTTTATCGAAACACACTTTACTTTTGTCGGATCGCGGGAGATACTTCGAGTGGCTGACGAAAATGTTCGAACGCTTGACGTTTCTAGCAAGCGTTCGGATCCCATACTCTTTTTCGGAGGGGAGGCCACAGTACGAGGCACGATCGCCCTGGCGTAAATCGATCGCATCGACGTCGTTAATTAATTATATGTTTACCATGCGAGTTTTCGTTTTAATCATCTCATGCCTCGTTTCGAGTTCTACGATCTAAGAACGTTCGTTCTTCGAGACAGCAACGTATTTTAAAACTGTGATAACGAAGGAAACAAACGGTGGTACCTACCCGACGATTACAGCTTCGTCTCTCCGACGATTTCTCTACTCTACCCTACGCTACGGTCCTCTCGACTAACCGTTTACCTCCGTGACGAGGTGATTATTGCTAAAAAACGATGATAACACGTCGAGTAGATAATTGTTTATGAAATTATACTCGTTGCAGCGGCGAAGAACGATTCGCTCGAGTGCATATGCATACAATAAATGTGTGTAGATGGATTTCTCTTCCGTTTCGTTATTGACTATCGTTACGAGGTTCACTCCGATCGGTTGAATCGGAGATTCGATTGACTGTCGAGTACCGTGATCGTGATGCAACGCGAAGACAACAGCGATGGTCGCGAACATCGTTCAAGGGTGCAATCGGTTTGACTTTAATTATTCGACTTTCGGTTTCGAGGATGGAACCTGGTAATCGCGCTTCCTAGCGTCGTTGAATACTAGAGCAAGCGCATAGGTTTGTTCCACGGACGGGAGAGACGAGCGAGGATTACGCGTGGAACAATAATGTTTCCTCGCGGTCGAAGCCGAGTCTCGTATAAAAATCCTCCTCGATCAAACGACTTTGCGATCGGTTGCACAATGCCCGGTGAGAAGGATGTCTCCGTCCAGAACTAATATCGGTTCTCGCCGTTCGCCGAGTATCGACGAAACGGATACACGGACGTGCGGTATCGCATCTCGTGTCCGACGGACATACATTCTCCTGACGCGTCTCTTTGGTTCTCTTTAAACTTAAATAGCTAAAGCTCGTTTCGTTTGGTTTCGCGGCGCGTTAAAAACTACACGACTACCAACCGATACCTCGCGCGCACGCGACAATTTATTCGATCGATTTCTAAGACTTCTACTTAGGTACGATATAAATATAATTCGCGAAAAACGTTTGGTACCAAAATATCTCTACGGTCTCGATAGAAAAAATGCGTACTCGCGAAAGCAATAGCGACTAAACTTAACGTCTGCCTATCGTATGACACGTTCGAGCCTCTTTGGTTTCATTTAGGATACTTATACGGCTCGGGGCAAATCAAAGACGAAACGATAAGGTTCGAGCGTAACTCGTTGACTAGAACGTTGAATCCGTTTACTCTCGTTCTCGTCGTTATACGTACATACCTCTTTGGTACCTCCTTTGGTTTCAGTTTCCTTCGATCGACGCGACGTTCCTTTCGTCGGCGGTCCCGCTCGATTTTCTTCTCCCGCGAGAATTCTAAATTAATATCACAATTCGGCTCTAACTCTAACGAGTCGTCTACTCGCGTACGCTAAACGAAAACCGATCAACGACTACGAACGACGATGAAACGAAGCTGACACCTACGTGCGAGCTTGCATATCCTGCGTGCACGCCTGTGCGTGTGCGTAAAAAAATATACGCGCCAACCGTGGAACGCGACAAGTTAAAAACTACTATTCGATGATCCTACGACTAGATTACAAACGAAAAGCTTTCGATCGGACGTACTCGGCGCGGAGCCGACTAGTACGACGCTGCTTCCGAAGTGACGAACAGTGTCTACGCGTGAACAGCTCGCTGGCGAAAAAATACGTGTATAAACGTCTTCTACAAAATCCCCGTCGAACGTTCAATTCGAGCAGACTAGAACAGACGTCGGCGTGGAGCGGCTTCCCCAGTTCCGTTGGTCCTCGCTCGGCGTGAGAAAACGCGTCGAACGACTCGGACGCGAAAGAGAATCGCGAAAATTCCGATATCTCGTTCGCGCACGGTTAACAAGCAGGAAATTACAGGAGGCCGTTCTATAATTCACGATAGAAACGAGCGACCCTTTCGCCACCGGAATGGTCATTCCTGCGTTCAACAGGTGGTCCAGTTTCCGTGAAATGTTGATGAAAACCTTCGAGATGTGCCCGAACCTTGTGTTACACGGCAAGGATCGCCGATGGAACTTCGGGTAAAGAACGCTTTAGATGAATCAGGCTCTCATGAGAAATGGTTCGTCGAGAGTAAGGCTGCCGGTAACTTTCAACGTTTCTCCATCAATTCTTTTTCGATCGCGAACGGGACGGGCAGCGGGTGCCGTTCGATCGCGACGCGTAATCGCGCGTCTACGTAAAAGAACGTTGAAGAGAATAGAACGAGCTACGGAATTTGTACGAAAACGATATAGGAACGAGACGGAGGGACAGGAATCTTCTCGGGAAGTATCCGAATATTAAAACGGACACCGGCGCATCGACAAAAGTCGACAAACTTTGAGTATCTGTTCATCGTCGAGTCTCGAGGTCGATCCGAATGGGGCGACCCGAGATTAGAAGATATCGAAATGGATTTTAGTCATCGTCGGAATTTGATGGTCCCTCGATAGCAGCTAGTCGATGGTACCTGGTTCATCGATTTTGGTCGGGCTGCTATGCATCGTTTTCTCTCGTGTCCTCCTACGCCCTACGCCCTATCCCTTTTAAGTCTCGTTGCCTCGAGAAAATCGATTTCCATGGACGTTGTTTCATCGAGCAGCGGCCGCGAACGATGGGAACGTCGCGAACGACAGACAAATTGCATCGCTAACAAAACTTGTCGAACCTACACTTACCACAGTGGTCCGCACGCGTACTCTTACAAAGCGCGTGTTCTTCGCGCAGCTGCGCCCGTGCTTCTCTTTTCTTCTCCTCCCACGATTTACGGGAATCGTTAGGAGTTGGAAACGAAGGACAGTGGAAGGGAACGAATTCGCTGTTACCGTTACCTCGAAGGAATTTAGGGATGAATTTCAATTGACTCACTGGCATTGACCCGAAACAAGTTTCGAACGAGCGTCCGTCTCGCGATGGGGATCAGCTGGAACCAAAACGAAAAAACGCGAATCATATTATCAAACGCTAATAACGATTCAACTGCAGCAGTTAGACGTTCGTCGGAAATAGAACAACTTACCCGAAAGACGCAAGAGCGTCAGCGACGCTAACGATACCAGCTCACTCGTCTCGTTCGAACCTATTAAGACGCCGAGTTCGAATCGTTGCCGGAATCGTCGTTCTCTCTCTGGCAGGAGGACTCCAGATGCTTGTTCAAATAAGATTTCAGAGCGAACGACTTATGACACTTGTAGCATTCGTAGTTCTTGTCCGCGGAATGCGTTTGCATGTGCGCGCGAAGGTTCGACCGATCGGCGAACGCTTTCCCGCAGTGCGCGCACCCATACGGTTTCTCCCCGGTGTGACTTCTCAGGTGGCCCTGAAGTAGCCAGGGCCTCGAGAACATTTTCCCGCAGACGCCGCAGCTGTGGGCCAACTTGTGAGTGAGCACGTGCATCGCCAGAGCCGGCATGCTCACGTAAGCCTTGCCGCAGTGGATGCACTTTTTCGCTGACTGCGAGTCGATGCTGCGATGGGTTTGCTTGTGCCGCGACAGGTTCGACGAGGTCGCGTATTGCTTACCTGAAAACGAACGATATTGACGGGTAGAGTCGCGACTCACTCGTCAAAAATTTCGCGAATATGCTTTGACTTACGGATACACTACGCTCGCTAAACTTACCGCATTCGCAACAGACATAACGTCCGCTTTTGGACGTCTCCGGCGCCTCGACGGGCTCGGTCGCTTGCGTCTTCTGATTAGGGGCGTTCTTCTTATGCTTGGATCTACCGTCCGCGACCAACAGAGTGTCGTACGTATAACTCGCTGGCTTTACTTCCGTCTGCTCGATCACGGTCTGTACCTCCTTGTCTTTCTGGCACGGTTGCGAGTTGGGATTGTTGTTCTCGATATCGCTGCTGCATTCGGAGATGGGTGGCGTTAACGGGGGCGCGGCGTCCACCGTTCGATGAGGCTGCTGTTGCTGCGGATTCGGCTGCTTCTGCGGAGGCTGCTGGCTAACGATCGTCGAGCATGGGATGGACGACGGGCCGTAAGTGAGCAGAATCTCTTGGACCGGAGACAAGGGAATGTACACGTTGCCCGTCTGCTCGACTATCGTCGTGGCAGGCTCGTAAATTACGCTCGTGGTTGGCTGTTGCTGACAAACCGCGGAACCCACTAAATCGATGGCGTTCACTTGGTAGATTGGCTGCTCCGACTCATAGACCGTCAACTCCTCGATGTCCGTGTCGGGTGATTCCGTCACGTTCTGCGGCCCGATGGCTACGCTGGGCGGTGGTAGCGGAGGCAGCGACCTCGAGAGCTCCAAGAGATCGTGAGCGGCTGCGGTTTCGGCCGCGGACCGATCCTTCGACGAATTCGGCTTCGAAGACGTGTACGAGATCACGATGCCGCTGTGGTTGTTGGCTTCTGTTGTCGAACCGGAGTCGGGAACGGATCCTCTTTCGATCTCTTCCGCTTGATACGGTGCCACCGTTGTTGTCTTTGTCGTACGCGACGGAGGAAACGGTTCTGCAGGTGGCGATTTCCCGCGTCGCTGACTCAGCACGATCGTTCTGGACGGTGGCGAATTAGGAGCCGCGAAAGGCACCACCGGCGTCGCGTTCTCGACCGCGTTTTCGCTCGCGTCCTCTTCAACTTCTACCTCCGTTGGACCCGTGTAGGCGATCACCGACGATATACGGGGAACTTCCTTTCTAGGTGCGGGGATGCTCGTCGCTGTACGTGGAGGTTCTGTCCTTGGCACGGCGATGCTCGTTGCTAAACGGGCAGGTTCCGTCCATGGTATTGCGATGTTCGTAGTTATACGGGCAGGTTCCGTCCATGGTATTGCGATACTCGTTGCTAGACGAGGAGGTTCCGTCCACGGTGTGGCGAAGCTCGGCGCTGTTCGAAGAGATTCCGTTCTCGGTACGGCGATGCTCGTTGCTATACGTGGAGGTTCCGTCCATGGTATAGCGATGCTCGTTGCACTACGAGACGGTTCCGTCCTCGGCGTAACGACGCTCGGTGGCGTACGAACAGATTCCGCCCTTGGTATCGCGATGCTCGTTACTGTACGAGTAGGTTCCGTCTTTGGTGTGGCGACGCTCGTCGTTATACGGGGAGGTTCTGCCTTCGGTATGGTGATGCTCGCTACTGTACGAGAAGTTTCTGTCCTCGGTGTGGCGGAGCTGGTCGCTGTACGGGAAGATTCCGTCCTTGGTACGGCGACGCTGGTCGCTGTACGAGACGGTTCCGTCTTCGGTGTGGCGACGTTCGTCGTTGTACGGGGAGAGTCCGTTCTCGGTGTAACGAAGTTCGTCACTGTGCGTGCGGGTTCTTTTCTCGGTGTGACGAAGTTCGTCACCGTACGGGCAGGTTCCTTTCTCGGTATGATGAAGTTCGTCACTGTACGGGCTGGTTCCTTTCTCGATGTGGCGACGCTGGTCGCTGTACGAGAAGATTCCGTCCTCCGTGCCCCGAAGCTTCTCGTCTTACGGGAAGAATACGTAATCGTTATCGGTACGTTGGTCTCGTAGTCGGGGTCGTACGACTTCTTCCTGCGAGTGTGGTAGTCGGCCCTCCTTTTTTTGAACGTTGCGTTTTGGGAGTGCGTTCTGTGAGATTCTAGGGGCGGACACGAAGATACATTCATAGTTATATGGAAATGGATTGTAAGAGATTCTTTCCACTAAAGGAAAACGATCGAAATACTATTTACAAAATATGTAACTTTATGAATTAGTATTGCTGCGATCCTTCCTCGTTCTGACTCGCTCGGCACTCACTTGACGACTGATCTCGCATCCGTACATCGCACATGTTCTACTTGCATGCATACACATGCACTCTTCTTACATTCGAAAACGGCAGAATCACGCTACATTGTTGCTGCCGAAGCAACGCATGGAGTCACAAACGCCGCCAACGACTCGCATCAGCTTTTGCAAGTCGTAACCACCCGAGAGGTCCGAAACTTTGTAGATAAAAGTTCGAAGCTGCTCGGGCGATTGATGATTCTCCAAGCCGCCGGTCTCGGCGGTTCTACTACGCGTAACTTGACGACACGTGCGCGCTCACATACACATACGCGCAACTCTCATTCCCAGAGTTATAATGTTAAATGTTCATCCGAGGTAGAATTGATAGCGCGTCGATTTTCTGAAATTCGTACGTCGCGTATAACGGAGCTACTTAAAGATTTACGGAAACGACGAGAGAAGCTGTTCACAAAATTCGACGAGCCAACCTGTTCCTCTCCTGAGAAAAGCGGATCCGCGAAAGGCAACAATTGGAAGTGACTTTGAGGAGAAAACTGGCAAAAGCATCGTCGGCTTCGTTTCGCTCCTTTCGGTCCACGACAATGCGATATTAACGAGACGCCTGACAACCGACGGCGATGAGAGTCTGTAACTCGGTTTCTTAATTTGACTTTTTAATCCAGATTTAACGAACGAAGAGAAGGAGAAGAAAGTAGCCGCTTTCGCACCCGCGGCAGTACGAAAGAGGCGACGGGGTCCCGAGCGAAAAGAGTGTGAAGAGGAAGACTTGGAAACGAGGTCAAAAGGGACGAGTATGGATGGCCAAGAAAAGGAACATCGGATATTAAATTTGACGATAACTCGGTTACGAAATTGCGCGATTTCTACCAGCGACGACGCTGCTTCATCCACCTCGGGGTTGCTCTTTTACCGGTACAGTTCGATTCGCGGACATATCGTCTTCCTTCCTCTCTCTCTCTCTCTCTCTCTCTCCCCCCCTCTCTCTCTCTTTAGAGACAGAGAAGTTTCTCAGATCAGTTTCGCGGAGATGCGGCTAATTTCTTATTTGTCGTATTTTGACTTTTCGCCTTTGCAAAAAGCGTGTAACTGATAGTTGGTAACGATGATATTGTAGAAATTATCGAAACGCTTTCCCTTGTCTCACGAAATCGTAAACAAGTTCCAGTAATTTGTAGCGCGATTAATTATCTCGAAACAACGTCAAACATAATTTGAACGAGTTTACGAAGAGACGATGCAGCTATATTTTGGCGCGTTCGATCGGCCTGGTTTCGCCTCGAGAGAGAGAGAGAGAGAGAGAGTCGAGGTGTACCGTCTGCATCGTAACAAGTCCGAAGCGCGATTCGCGATCTTCTTAGCTCCGTTAACGTCTTTGACGAGCTTCGCTCGACATTCTCTCGCTCGAAGAAGCGAACAAGAACACGTAAACCCATAATCTGTTTATATACTTGGAGACACATTGTTATGATGATAATTTATATTTTATATAGGAACGTGATTACTAGAAGACGATGAATTTATACTAGCGACTATAGAGATATAAGAATAGACAGCGTGAACGGGTCGAAAAATCAACGGGACGGTAAAAAGATAATGGTCTCTCTCTTTATCTAATCACGCAGCGAATATATGTTTATGCTGTGATATTTGCCAGTAGAAAAAAATAGTAGATCCTTTTTGTGCAACGTTCTTTTTTTATTCCGGCCACCTACAGAGTGCCTCCAATGCTCACGCGATGTGTACATATGTCTATGGCCGATAATGTACTAGCGGACGGTAAGAAATAATTGGAACAGCTGATTAGTTGTGTACAATGTGCGCATTGACTCGTCTCTTGTTTCACGATCGGTTCCGTCACACGTGCGCAGAAATAATAAACGATCTCAAAGAATGAAACAAGAACATTTTCTAAACGGAAAATATCACGTTTGTAAGATTTTTTTCTTGCTAAAGCAAAACTCGCGCCGACGGCATGACGACCGCGAGAGCTACGATAAACACGATACACATTTAGAGTCTAGAAGTGGAGAGACCACATCTACGGTCTAGAGCAGACGGCGAATCGATACCGCGAGTTTTCCAACAAATTTCTTTAGTCGCGTTTGGTTGCTCGCATGTCCGGTCGACGAAATATCGATCGACGTTTTCCCTGTTCAAGATAAGATTGGGCGAAAAATAAATCGTGAACGTACCTCGAGAAACGGGGGGTGCCATGGTCCGTTCCGTGGGCGAGACCGGAGCCTGCACGGTGATCGGCGGCGACGATTTCGTCCCGCGACCGCGGCCCCAGCTCTCGAATTCTCTGGCAACATCGCTCGCATACTTGTTGCACAGAGCTTTCTTCACCATGTAGCATCGCGGCATCTTGCCTGCTTTGTCCGCTCGGACCTCTTCCGGTTAATCTCAAAATCCAGATCGACCGTCCCTCTCGATTCTCTTTTCGAGTTCCTCGATCATCGAACGAGAACGCGAAATAAAGATCTTTTATTTCCAGCGATTCGTCGTTTACATCCGATGGACGAACGAAAAAGAAACCTCCTGTGGGAGAAAGTATCCCGTGAGCGTCCGATTTCGTTGCTCGCTGGATAAACGACGATCGGTTCGCGATCGCAAAATGTCTGCTCGAAGGTCTTCCAACCACGTGGATCTCGGTCGATTCCGCGATCGATGCTTAGCTGCCGGTCGGCCGATTCTCCCGTCGAGCCCAGTTGGTTTCGCTCGTTGACTAAATTCGGTGTCTGCCGTTGGACGAGTCTTCCGACCGATTCCTCTCTTTTGTCCTTTCGCTCTGTCCTTCACCTCTTCTTCTTCCTCATTAAAGAGAGGAATTAACTGAATTCGGACCGATCCGAGCGTCGCATCGATATCGATTGTTGAAACGTAAAATTCACGGTCCGATCTCCGGTGAACTCCGCTCCGTTGGGACTCGCGATCGGCGACTGTTTCTAATTCTAGGTGTCGTTGCACGAAATGGGTCTACGTTCGCTCCTGTATCGTGCGCGCGCGCGTGTATTGTTATGCATGTAAATTTATATTAAAATACTCTTCGAAACACGATGAAAACGATGCGAGATTCGGCCGATCGAGAATAGACTCGGAAGAATCCTCGTCCTCGACGACTGTGCTCGCTCGACGAAAAATTTCGGCCTCCCCGAGCAAAAATCGTTCGGGGATTCGAGTTTGCGAGACGCGCAGAAAAAGAATTCTCCTCCAATTTGTTTCTTTCGTCGCTTTACCTTGTTTGTAGTATTGCTTTCGTTGTATTCGCGGGTGGAAGATTAAGATACGCGGCGGCGTCGTTCGCCTAGCCGTTCGCCCTGCCTTCCATTTCGTCTGGTCTCTGGCAATCGCGGTTCATCGAGTAAATCTTTTTCTCGCGCATAATAAGATCGTACGATGTTCGTAGACCGTTGGCCGTCGAGCGATGACCCCCTCCTCGGGTTTCGACGACGATGTTCTCCGGCGTTCGCCAGTTATCGACGGGTTCGCGAAACCGGGCGTGTCTCGACCCGAACACGTATACTCGTTCACTTCCTCGTTCGTCGCGACGAGCCTTCCCACGGATCGTCGTACTTCCGACGATGAGTTTCAAAGGGGTTACGCCGAGGGTCCTTTCTCGAAAAGCATCGGCGTGCGATCGCGGAGAGACGAGCGAGGCGACCAAGTTGCGCCTTCTCGCAGGGACGAGCAACAAGTTGGACAACAGGTCCGCGATGTTTGTGTATCCGTATGTGTGCGCTGTCGCCTTACGCGTGTAGTCGATAACTCCCTCCGGTAAGCGGTGCTACCCCCTCCCTCTCACCCTGTTCGTCTCTCGTTTTCCTTTATCGGTCGGAGATCCACCCAGAAACGATCCCTTCGCCGCGAATCACCTCTCTCCCTCTTCCTCACTCTCTCTCTCTCTCTTTTTCTCTCTCGCTATCTTTGTTCCACACTTTCGATCCGTCTGTTCGCTTGCTTCCACCCCCGGACGGCACCGGTTTCCAGCGGCACCGCGAGACCAGGAACCCGCGCGAAGCTACAACTCTGCCCTCGCGCGGCTGTTCAACGGCCTTCCAGCGATCCACGACCTATACACGTTTTCCCTTCGTTCCTCGTTTTCCTCTACCACTTTTCTTCGCCCGTTCTCGACGACGACGGCTCGTAACGATTTGACCCGATTCGTTTCGTTCGAGAAGGTTGGAAAGAACGTTTCGCGTAGATAGGGGTAGATACGCGTAGAAACGGGCATTCGTTCGTCGATGCGCGTTTACGCTCGACGTCCACGTAGTCGTACCCGAGAGGTCATATCCAATGGACGTTCTCCGTTTACTCGTTCCACCTGAACCGACGTACAGTTTTCCACAGGGCTGCTGCGTCGAACACGAGACTCGCACTGCGCGCGACGGCACGCTGAACGTTTCGAAGGCGGCGACTTATCGGAGACGGAGACGAGTAGCGCGCCGTTCGCGGAACCGAATCCGGAACGAGCGACGACGCGAGCCTAACGTCGGGTGGCCGAGGCTCGTCAGGGCGACAAGTCGATCGCCGCGTCGGTTCGCGCACACTTTTTGACACGGTCGGTTCGCGAACGACGGCGACGAGACGGGAACCGGGCTCGACGTCGTCTACGTCTACGCTCGCGAAAATCGAAGATGAAGATGTACCACCTGTGGGCGCAGAAGCAACAATTGTCCGCCGTGTATCGCGGTGGAGGGTAGCCCGACTACATGGCTCGTACCGGGTGTGGCTGGGGTGCAACTGCCGATGCAGCGTCCTCGAGGCCTCCGCGTCGCGTCCCTCGTCGCTTCGTCGCCTCGACGTCCGTCGTCCTAGGCCCCCGCGCTTGCGTTCTCCACGCTCCTCCGCTCTCTGCACCTCTCCGGTCTCCCGTCCCGGCCTGGCCATCTCGCTCCCCTTCGCTGCCACCCCTCGCGCGCTGCGTCTCCCGTTGTCCGCAATACTCCTTTAACCCCCTCGCTCTCGCTTTCTCCCTGTTCCACGTACGGTCTATGGCGCACAGTTGATAACGCCGTCTACCCCCGGGGCACGAGCGCCGTCCCTTTCTACCCTCCTGTCCACCCTATCCGATTCTACCCCTACGGCGCGCATCCTTCTCGATCGTCTCTCCGTCTCGTTTCGTTCACCCCCGTGCGCACACGTTCGTCCCTTCCGTTTTCCCTCTCCGTCTCGCATTTGCTCCGTTATAGCTTCGTCGTCTCATTTCCGGCGACGCGCGCGTATGCAAACGCGCGTACGTACACGGACGAAAAGCTCGGCTATCGGTCGGGACCAGCGGAGGAACGAGGAAGCCGAGCGAGAGAGGGTGGAATAATCCACCCCTCGACAGCGACGCCGATGTGGCTCTCGGCCATCGATTTTGTACGAGTTCGGAGCCGGAGCAACACCTGTTACCGCGTCGAATGGAAAGAGGGTGGCACGCGCGCAGAGAGAGCCCCGGAACGGGGATGGCCGGTTGAGAAGCTTCCGGTGGAACGAAGACGAGACGAAACTACGCGTGTACATAAGCGGGAGTATGGAAGAGAAGAGGAAAGTACGAACGAATCCGCGAGGAAAGAAGACGGGGATGATGGAAGAGGTTGGCGGTGGCGCGAGTGCCAACGGTGAAAATGGGAGGATGAGAGAGAGACAGACAGAGACGGGTAAACAGCGACGCCGAGGAAACGCCGCCGAGTCCAATCGATAGCGCCGACCCCGGCGTCGTACCGCGTTCGCTGCCGCTGCTGCCAGGGTTTCGCGATAGCGCATCGCGGCTCGTCGCTCGCATCAACTTTTCTCTCTTTCGCGACCCCTTACTCTCTCCGTCCTCCGAAGCTTTCGTCCTACTCCTACTTCATCCTCGCTCGCAGCTTTCACTTCTGCTCTTTCCTCTCTGACTTCCACCCCCGCCCATCCAGATTCTGCCACCCCCTCCTTACTCGCAGACGTCTTTTTTCTCCGTCGCTCCGATCGAGGGGTCGCTCGTTGGCCGTCGTAATTTCGGTGCCCTTGTTCGCGACGTTCCCTCTCCGTCCACGTGCTCCGTCGACGATGCGATTCGTGCTCCGTACCCGTACGTACATACGTACATACGTCGCAATCTGGCCGTTCGTTCTCGGACGTCCCGTTGCCTAACCCTAACCATTCGCTCGTATCGTCCGTGTTGTTCGCGATTGCGCGTCACCCTCATGCCGCTATTCCTTCGTTTCACCCCCGCACTCTTCTTTTATTGTATTTACCCCACGTGTTTTCCTTAGTCCTAGAGACGCCATGCCGTAAAGAGTATAGTACGCGAACTTCTTCCTTTCTATTTCCTCGTTTTCCATCCTCTAGCGTGGATTTAATAATAAATACCGAAGATACCTTTCTCCAATTTCTAAATCCTAGACGTCGTTGCCGGATACGTAATACCGAAACCATCGATTCGAACGACGTTCTTCCCATATTTATTCGTCGAAAATATCCCAGAGTTAGCTTATCCAACCTGCCTTAAACTCTGATTACTCCATTGGGTCGGTTGTAAATCCGCGAGACGTTCCCGTGTCTGCCGTTTGTCGCTGGGTCGCCATTCCGACGAGCACAGTTCGATTACCGGAAACGAAGGGGCACGCGGATACGATGCGTAATTGCGCCCGTCGATTAAAGCGGATCGACCGTCTCACTGGCCACCGAGCTTTGCGAGTCGATCGCGAGCGGAAGTGGCATGAGTCAGTCTTCCTGATTCAAAGGATTACACGTTCGGGGATTGCTTTCCAGATGAAATACGCACGCGACCTTCTATCTATCCGATATCTATTCGATCGTCGTTTCTGGATCCTCCGACCATTCCGTGCAACGCTTGACATCCCGATTATGTCGACGAGTGGCAATTAGAAATCAGAGAATTAGCTCGGTTAGGAAAAAAGAGCGTTGTATCCCCGTTAGCCGTTCCGTTCACGTTTCCATCTCGTCGATAGAGAAGAACGGGCAATATCGCTGACACCGTAGTTGCCGCAGCAACACGTCGAATTAATCGCGGAGGGTGAACGAGAGGAGGGAGACGGACGGGAAGCGAGTCGTTCTCGTCCGAGTCTGTAAAGTGGCTACGTTATCGCGGTGTGCTCGAGCGCTGGTGCGCGAGGGGGATGGATCATCCCCCATCTTCCCCGCCGTTCGATGCTGGAACATCGCTGAATCAGGAACGACTCCGCATACGTTAAATGCATCGTAGAAAAGCTTACAATGCCCTGTGCTCTAACGTTGATGAGAAACTAATTATTACATAGTTCGATTATCATCATCTCGTTGGTCCTTTTTCTATCGTACGATGTTACGAACAATTATGAGGTCGCATTTGGATTCGAAGCGCAAACGTGAGAAGCTCGAAGTTCCATAATCTCGTAACGTCCCACGCGAACATATATCGAACGCCCCCGCGTTTCGTTACATAATTTCGGTTCCACGTGGAACGAGACGCTTCTCTTTGCGAACGCGACACGAATGTTGCCGACGGACCTTTCATTGTATGTCTCTTGTGAATCTCTAAATATTCGCGTCGCTTCGAAACTGGGAGGAATCGTCTTCCAAGATTAGAATGGATTCGCGTCGACGAGCTTGTTCGTGTACAATACAGAGCTCGGCCCACCTCGGCGATTCTATCGCGATTCACCCTGCGCCCCGTGCCAACAGCACGCCGGGAGGGGTGTCTTCTCCCTCGCGATTACATCTCCCTATCCCTGGATATAGATAGATGCCAGCTATAGGACGCATCTTATCGTAGGCCACGCTACGCGCCGACCCCGATTCTATCCTCCTTCGGATTTCCTAGCCAAGGACGTCTGATAGACAAAAGACGTTTGTAGGGTCGCGGATTACATATCACGAGAGAATTTCAGCTGTTTTGTCCTTAAAAACAGACACACGCGGAAAAAGAATCGAAATAGCTCGACCACCCCTTCGTTCGCGTTCTCTTCTTAGCCGTCCTACTCCGATCAGATTAAGGATGTATAGATTATACACTTAAACAATGCTAGCATGTTGAATTTGTTATTATAGATTCCTATTACTATTAAAAAGCTACCTGCAAAATTTTAAATCAATCCATGGGTT